GTAAATAAAATCATCCGCATCCAACATCCGTCATGCAACCAAAGCAAAGTTCCTTGACAATTGCGGTTGTTACAAACCGAGTTCCGCTAATTTCCACCTTTTTCCGCCAATTTCCGCTAATTTCTCCTCGTGAAATTTCAGACTATATTTTAAAACAACAACCATGACCCTGCCAAACCAAATGGCTCAGATTGAACGGTGAAAAACCGATTTCCGCCCGAGGACGTGTTTCAAGGATTCAGCCTAAAAAGACGCCTTTAAAGGAAAATCCAACACTTTGGCACCTTTTAGACAGTCTAGGTACATATACATCAGCACTGCGCCCTTCGCCCCTGTACATCCTGTACCTCCTCATCCTGCACGGTAATTAGAGACAACTGAGACAACAGCATATACTGGGCAGGCTACAGCTGCCCCCATCACAACGTTGGCCATTGGAAGAATGATCAATCATCGATCAATCAGTAGAGAACCAGTAGCCCATGGTAGCCCCTATAGCCTATCAGGCCTACTGAGTAGCCGCCATTAGCCTTTCAGTAGTAGCCCATGGTAGTCCTTCATGGCCCTCATTCCCAGCTTGTGGCGGTGTCCCTTTTTCCTCCTCCTGGATAGGTGTACGAGCTTCTCGTCGATCGACTGTCCTGGCTCTCAGGCGATGGCCAAGTGGAGCACTGTCTTGAGCCTCTGGCGCTGGGTCGGCGACATGCACGCCACCACAGTGGCAAGGACATTCAGTGCGGCAGCCACACTGCGTGCTGTTTGACCCATTTCGGTCACCTCAGAACCTGCCGAACCTGGGCAAAAGTCGTTGCTTTGAAGACCAGAAGCCAGGCGAATGCTCAGCGCGAGGACAAGAATCGCCTTGCAGGGATGCATCCATTCAGCCACAATTCCTCAACATCTTGATCACTGAGGAATTCACCCGGACTGTTGACCCAACGCACCATAGGTTTGACCCAACAATCCCCTCCCTTTGCGGCAATGCCTGAACATGCATCTTGTCAAAGGAAGGCCTCTACATCTCGCAGCAGGCTGAAAAGGACCGTATGCCAAAAACATCCAAAAACCAACGACATGTCGCATGAATAAGTCCAAACAAGCTGTGAACCTCAGGCGCAGGTCACAGTCGTCGTGGGGCAACTAAGAAAAGAGAGAGAGAGAGAGAGAACAAGATGGGAGTCAAAGTCGGCTACAGTGTCCACATAGAGCAGCACACAAACCACCTGTTTGCTGCGAGTTCGCCATTCCGTTCTCAGATCTCAAGCATTACCGACTCCAGCCTTGAAGATGAAGTTCATGACAGCGCCAGGCGTCTGCTGAAGATGGAGAGGGCGTCTTGCTGCGAAATATACTTCGCAGCGGGTGAGGGTTCCCCCGCCCTGGTCAAACCCGCATTTCTTGTGCCAAGGACCTGATCCGAAATGCTCCGGTTTGCATGTAAAGTGGCTGCTAGTCTAGCTGACTGGCTGCCATCAAACGTGCACAAGCAGTCCTTAGCCAAGGGTTCTCTGATGGGATTGGTGACACCTTTGCACACCACTGACAGAACAATCTTGTGTTGCAATTCTGCTTGACAACCTGCCTTGTGCTCCTGAAATGGCATCAAGGTCTGCTTGCAATACGCATTCTGGCATTCTGGTCATGTTACGGCATCTGACACAACAAAATGTCGCAAAATTCAGCGAACACCTGTTCTGTATGTTTGTCCATTGTCTTCAATGTTTGCCTCTGAGCTCTGCACTACTTTTGCTCCTTGAACGTTGCTCGTGCCCAGTGTCAGTCTGGCCAAGCCTGAGTGAAAGATAATGCGAGATACCATTAACATCGCGCTGCAAGGAACCGCTCTTGTGGTTACGAGGGTCTGGCTGCAAGGCCGCGGGTTTTATGGCTCGAATTCTCCCTTAGATTTAGCAAAGCAATATACCAAGGGAACCATTACTAGATTGAATTCGCTGTTCCTTTACAGTAGATCATTTGGATTGAATTCTCTGGACATCTCTGTTCTCGTTGCTTGTCCGAACCTGTTTGAGCCACGTGCCATGAACACCATGGAACACGGACACCTGCCATGCTGCCATGCTGCTACTGCTTGGTCAACCGCCTTGGTAAACCCGGCTCTTTTTTCCTGGCTCTTTACGCTGTCAAGGGCCCTCCCTTGTTGAGTCACACTCCTTGTGCCAAACAACCACCAATGGGCACCCGAGAGCTGCCTCTTTCGTGCTCAAAAGTGTGAGAGCTGCGAGTCTTTGCCCACCATTCGATAGAGCAGCATGGTGCAAAATGCGGTCACGGCAAAGCCTGCGGTCGTGGAGTCATACATGATCTGGCCGGCCTGTGTGGGCAAAGGCTCCTTAAATCTGTTGGCTCACTAACATGGTTTCGTCCAAAACCACCTATATTTACAAAGGTGAAGATAGACCTGACGCTGTTCCAAACACAAGCCCCTCCCAAGCTGGCCTTCTCTGGAATGACAATGCGTAGATTTCCGAACAGGACCTGCACGCAGCAGCCAAAGAGTTGAGAGAGGCTGTCCAACACAGCCATACAAAAGGCTCGTTGTGAACGCGGTACCTGTGAGCAGTAGACCGTGTAGGGCAAATACAAGAGTGGTCCAGCACCTGCTCCGGTTAAAAGCAGGAAGAAGACCCAAGGAGTCAAACTCATACCGGGCATCATCACCATTGACACAAGGCACAACAGTGCCACATTCGCCTGAATGAGCTGCAGCAAGCGACCATGCTCACGGCCGTTCAAGTAGGTCACGACACCTGCCAGCAGAAGGCCCAGAAAGGTGCCAGCTAGCAAGCTGGAAGCCGCCATGGCTGCTCCACCTGGATCCAATTGGAACTGAGCCTGCATGAGCAAGGACAGATAGCCTGAGAAGGCCCAAAGTCCTGAGGTCCCAAGAAGGACCAGCAGTGCCAACCAGCCATGGAAGTCCACAAAGAGCCGGAACCATTTGGCTCCATAGCTTGCGCTCCAAGTCGGAGAGCTTGGTGACATGGGCTCTTCAATGTGAATCCCCTTGGCCAAGAGCCCATGCAAACAGAAGATTCCTCCCAGGAAAATGGCCACCAGAAATCCCCCGAAGCAAGCGAGAGCTGAGCGCCAGTGGAAGCCCAACCATAGCAGTTGACCCAGGCCGAAATCTCCAAGAGCTTCTGCAAACCTCGAGGCTAATGCACAACAAAAGAAGCAAACATCCTGCTTTTCCTTGTCCAGCGAGAAAATGATGCTTCCCAAGGAGGGCCACAGAATGCCCTTCAGGAAACTCACCACCAGTAAACTGAGAATCAACCTGCCAAGCTCCAATGGCTGGTGATTGACACGGTGGAACAAGAACACCGCATGGCTGGGCAGTTTCAATTTCCCAAAACTGAGGACCACCTGGAAGCACCTCCTGTGCCACGAACATGACAACGATCCTTTGCATAAGCATCCGCTTTTGTTGATGTATTTCTTTGTTGCTCCTGCTCTTTTTGGAGGAGGATTGCGCTTACGAAAGGAAGACAAGTGGGCTCAACATGTTACAAAACTATCCACTTGCTAAAAGGAATTATCTTCAACCCCCGATGGCCCTGGCTGGGTCATTATGTTAGTTTGGGGTAGGGCACCAGTGGCTGCAAGAACACTAATTAACGCCACCCGTAGACCACAGTGTTGATGCTCCACCTCAGCATCCATCAGCCAATTAAACTTGGCATGGGATCACATCTTGTACCCACAGCAGCATGGCTGTAATTCGTGTAATTATAGTCATATTACTGAGCAGTAGCATTGAAAGCAGGTATGTCGACACTTCAAACCATTCTACATATGATACAGTACGAGTGTGTGATTGTGCAATTGCGTGTCACATATTAAACATTATTAAACCTACCAGTATCTGAGCCTATCTGCAATATCATAGGTCAACATCACCCATCAAATCTGTCGTTGGTGTTTTCTGAAGTGAATGAACGCCCCGATCAGGTGCCCCGTTCTCTTCTTGCTGGCAGGTCACCCATGGGCGCTGTGCAGTGTGGTGGCGATGAAGAGCCCAGAGAAGGCCACAAGCCCCTCAAAGGCTATCAGGAGCACCGGTTCGATGTAGTCAGCTAAAGGCCCTGCCAATAATAGCCCCAAGGCCTGTGCACTTCGGCGCGCTTTCGTCAGAATGTGAGGGTGTTGCTTAGCAAACGACGTGTCTGAAGATTCAATCGAATCTAAAGGCAATCTCATGCAACTTCTAGGTCTTATAGAAGCATATGGCATAACGGGATTTTACTATGGATATATACCACTGCTCAACATGGGCCGTGGCTTGGACAGACTCGCAAGTCGCGCTATATCTAAAACATATGTATATATATAATATGTACATACAGTATTACATGACATAGATTCCGAATTCCCTTTAAGATCCATTACATTATATAAGCAATATATCCCTTTGGGATACAGATCTTAAAGGGAATTTGGAAAAATATATATGTATACGTGTATGATCGTGTATGTGTGTATATATTATATAAATCTATATCAGCAAAGTCCCTTTGCTTCCACTCTGCCTCGAACAAGGTTGTGATCCATGTCACAGTCAATGTCGACTTCTTTGTCCAGCTGATGGACCGGTCTGCCTCCCATGCTGGCAGCAAGGCATAATAGTAATAGCTGGCACTCGTCAGAGCAAAGACCAAGAGCTTCAAGCTTGCAAGGAGCCAGTAGTCCGAAGAAGTCCACAATTTCTTTTCACGTTTAGGCAGTTCAACAGTCCCATAGGCAGGCTTGGTTGAACCGGCAACCGGTTCCATCCGGTTATGCAAACATGGAATGGGCCTACACTACCAAGTGTAGGCTGAAAGCCTGGGCCTAAAGGCGCAGCAGCATTGTTGACGAGATCTGTCGTGCTGCACTTGATGCATGTGTGCATGCATGCAAATGCCACAAGACAAAAAGAGTGAACTCAATATATACAGTATAACTGATGTATGCGTATACAACGAAACACTTCCGGTCTCCTCGGCCAAAGGCTCAAACAGTGGGACCTGAGCAATGCAACGTGTTCTCAGCCAGCCACGGGTTTTCCTGCTTGCACCATCAAGCTGGAAATGCACGATCATCAGAAGCAACACCGGGCCACAAAAGTGGGGCTCCGAGTTTGGGACCAAGATATCTTCATCCCCGATCTCGAAAATATCCTGCGAGAGCCTGGGTCGCAAGGAGTCAGAATCGCGGGTTTGTCATAGTTTGGCCCCTAATTCATTCTCTCCCTCCCACCACCAGACAAAAGCACTTTCTAACTGGGTTTGTCTTGAGTTCGGCCCCGAATTCTCTCTCTCTCTCTCATCCCTGTCGATCCAGGTCCTCTCGTCACCTCGCACCCGGCTGATCGGCTGAGCGCTTTGCTCGCCGCCATCGCGAAAGAAGTCGTCTGCCTGGACACCACGACCCACCGCCCCACTCCCACTCGACCGGTCCGGTGTTCCAAGGAAACCCGAACCATCCATGGGACTGGAACAGTATGGAACAGTTGGTTTATGTTAATAGTTTTGCAATGAAGGGGTCAGAGTCATTGTTGTTTTTTGCATGGGTCATGAAAAGTCACGGTCAAACACAGGTGGCTTGACCTCCACGGGTCGTTGATGGTTATTTAGGTTTTTGATTCTGATTTCTCGACAGTGCCCATTTGAGAAGCACGAAGGGTGCTCAACATGCTCAACATCAGCTTCTGCGGTGAGAATCAACAGAACCTTCGGACTGTCTTTTCCACAGGCTGCCTTGCCTGCCGTGCTGTACAACGTGCATTCTATGGTAAATTATACAGCCTTCCAGCTGCCAATCACAGGCTCCTCTTTCATAGCTTGTACAGTAGCTCTTCTACACCAGCCGGAAGTCTACAGCAGGATACATACACGGATCCAGCAGAATGGCAGTCGGACATGGTCGGTTTCGACTCCAGTGTAGAAAATCAGGTGAGATAGGAGAGATAGAGCACGATCGGTGGATCCTTTGGTCATTACATGCAGGTCTCCAAACGAGAAATTGCTGCACCAGAGCACAGGAAAGGCATGGGCATCTTCCAGTTACGACGTTGCCGGAGACCTCCGGAAGACTGTATTGTGCATTCTCCAAAACGCCTCTCATGCGCAGCTGACTGGTCTTCTGACATTTTCGCTCTTCAAAAAACCACTGCCGTTGACCTCAGGCGCCTCCGAGGGAGGACGCTCGTGCCAACGAATTGAGGCGCTCACGCAACCACTGAGCCATGTCCGCAGGTGGTTGCCTAGGGAGAGGACGTCCGCACGATCTATTTTCGCTCCTCACATGATTCCCACCCGACAAATGCACCCGAACAATGCTGGGACCTCAAAAGGGAGGAAGGGAGGCCACCGGCCTCGAGCGAGCACGTCGCTCATCGCCTGCGCGTGCCGAACCTCCGGGGCCCGGGCCATTCGGCAAAGGACAGATTCTCCAAGGCATTCTTGACCTTCGGCTCCAAGTCTGATGGGATGTGCTCACGTAAGACCTGATGGGATGTGCTCAGGAGAGACATGGATGGAGAATGATGGAGAATGTCTACAGCAAAAACGGAAAGAATACGGTAAATAAAACCACGTCACACACACAAAACACATTGTGATGATCTATGTCAATGTGACTGTCCATGTCAAAGAGGCTTTCCTCGACTGGGCAGCCGCGCTGAATTGTATGAAGCCAACCACTTCAGCTCTTGGCTCAAAGAGTGAATGCCGTGCATCAGCTCGGCGTTTTGCTGACTGATCTCGAGTTCGTAGCATGTTTCATCCTTCATCTCCTCAGCCGTTTGACCCGCCAGGTGATTGTGTTGGGCATAGTTTCAGGGCCGCTACGCCGTGTGTGGAGCCGTGAAACACGCGAACAACCCGCCCAATGTCGTGGAGGACCGTCAAAGCAATAAGAAACTAAGTAGTTGCCATCGTCGCTGCGTTCTGCGCCGGGTGTTTTCTCTCGGTTTTGATGGTCAGCGATGTCTTTTGTTGTATGTAGTGAAGTGTGACAAGTTTTGCTCTCTTTTGAATGTTATCCGTTGCATGTTGTCCAAGTGCACATTCATTGACTCATTGTACAAGACGTTAGATACGCTTCCACGCTATGTTACTGACTTTGATATTGTTGGGGTGGGGTGGGATGGTGGGGATGTTAATGTAGGCTTCTAATTGCACACCTACACATTAGATACTCTTCTACGCTACGCTAGGCTGTGCGATTGCCTTGATGCAGGTTGGAAGAGATTGACATGTTGGCTACCACAAACAGCCAACGTGTCAAGGCCACGCAGTCCACGAAGCTGCTTGCGTGTGTGGCAGTGGGTGAACACAACGTGTCACGTTGCGTGGAACACCGGCAAAGAATCTCTCCAAAGTGTGGAACGCGAAGTAGTTTTCCAAAGTGCCAAAAACAAGGTGCGCCAGTGTGTGCCACAGCCTCAGGGGCAACGTGACCACTACAACCACTACCATCCAGGCGCCTGATGACGCCGTTCCGAAGCAGTTTGGGCAGATCTTGGAACAGTGGATGATGATTGTTAGTTAAAGACCTTTCTGCAAAATCGTGATAATTGTTTGCCAAGCAACAGGTAATAGGACAGGCCATTTTCGTGTACAGTTTCTTTGGATGATGGTTAGATTGCAGGCCTTTCCCCCAATTATCTTTTATCAACTGGTTACAAGTGATGGGACACGCCCGTTATCCGTAGTAGTTTCGGCTAAGAACACAGCGCATTGAGCTTCGCTTTCGCTTCACCGAGCTTCTGCAGGTGTTGGAAAAACTTCAGCGCAAACTTGAGCACTCTCTTCGCTCGCTTGGAGCTGGCTTTGCAAGGTCGAAATCTCGTCCTGGAAAAGGATGAGGTGTTCTCATTACTAGTAGAAATGCACTTGTCACTAGTAGTAATGCACTTGTTACTGGTAGAAATGCACTTGTTACTATGTACTTGTTACTAGTGGTAATGCACTTGTTACTAGTAGTATTAATGCACTTGTTGCTAGTTGTAGTAATGCACTTGTTACTAGTAGTAATGCACTTGTTACTATTAGTAGGAATGCACTTGTTACTAGTAGTTGTAATGCACTTGTTACTACTAGTAGTAGTTATGCACTTGTTACTATTAGTAGGAATGCACTTGTTATTAGTAGTAGTAATGCGCTTGTTACTAGTAGTAGTATTGCACGTGTTACTACTAGTAATAGAAATGCGTTGAGTAATGCCCGTGTTACTAGTAGTAGTACTGCACTTGTTACTAGTAGTAGTATTGCACTTGTTACTATTATATAGTGGTAATGCACTTGTTACTAGTAGTACAGTAATGCACTTGTAGCGATGCACTTGTTACGATTAGGATGAGGTGTTGCACTTAGTTTTTTTCCCACAGAATGTATGGCGATGATTTCGAGCTTCACTGCACGGGGTGGAATATACGTATACTGTATATCGACAGGTGTCTGCAATTAATTTTCCGGTCAGGGAGGGGCCTAACATAAGGATAAAGGATGTCTCAACATAAAATTTACATGTGCTTTGTTACCTCGGTGTTTCTAGCAACACCGGATCCAGCATATGTCTCAAAGGTAGGGGGACAGCAAGACACAAATTGGATGCATAGGGGTAGGGCACAACGACCCATGCACATCTACATTTCTTGGGCATTCGCGACCAGGTTCCAGGCCAAATGGACGCACACATATTATGCACACCATAGCCCACAGCATACAATGCTGCAATTGACGCAATCACGTGGAGGGGATACACGAGCTTGTGGGGTGGTTTCTCTTGTGTTCGAACCGCTCTGGGCACCCCCTGTGCCGCATACAATTCCAAGCATATTGTCAGCCAACAAAACAAACACCAAAACATGCATACTGTAAAATCCTTGTCCGTTGAGTTGCATGGCTTCTTGGGGATTCTAGCCATAAAGCAGAGGCATACTTCGCATCAAGAAAGGGAGAGGGAATCGCTTTTCATGTCCGCCCATCGAAACTCCAGCCGGAGCGCGCATGAAGCTCCGGAGTTGAAGAATTCCTAGGAACTCTTGGGTAATCTGCGGCGAATCGGTGGCCATTCTCAGGAAATTGAAGTTGATGTTCATGTATGAAAGTAAGGGAGGGGGCGGCAGGAAGCATACGAAAGTGTCAAGGACATGGGGGCGGGGGAGATCCAGACGCAAACTCAATGTCAAAGACCTATGTTTCGGAAATGCCGCCTAGATGCAAGAACATGTATACTCTTTGTTGAGCACTCCCCTGCACCACATATACTTTGACGTGACCCTGCTATGAAATACCGCATGTTGTTCCGTATTCCGCGGTAAACAAACATACATGAAAACAACACAGTGATCTGGAAATAAACATACACAAGAACACATGCATGCCTTTTCATTCTATTTCATGACCTAGTCCATTCACATTCGTAGTTTAAACAAGTTTTTACAAGTCCAGTGCTGTCTTCTGGTCCTTCTGCTTCTGGATCTCTTCTTGCAAATGTGCCTTCTCCTCCATGCTTTGCCGCAGCTCCTTCTCCAATCCCGACCGCCTCTTGGCCTGGTGCGGGCCGTGGGGGGGCCGGTGAGCGCCCGGGAAGGCCTCCTTACACCATCACCATCAAAGGAACATGAACATACCTGGAGGTGGCGCAACATGTGGACATACGTGTCTGGCTGGGGGTTTAATGAACGGGGCCAACATGTTGCACTGTTGGAGCATCCAGGTAGAATATAAACAAATACATAATACATAACTGTGACATAACAGCAATATAGTTGTAACATACATGATGTTTAAAGTGTAAGATATTGCAACACATCTGAAAAGACTTCGCCCAATTCAGCTTGCCTCTTCTGTGACCTTCTCCTGGCTCTGCTGTACCATGATGTTCAATTCACGCGCCGTGCGTTCGTTCTGCCTCAGTCGTAGGACCGGTGACCGGAGTCTACGCCATGAGCCAGGTAGGCCTGTAGAACCTGCAAAAGGTATTGGTAAGTTCATAGGATCTCCACCTAAACCTGCCAGTATAGGTAGTGATGGTGCCTATCCAAAGGGCCAGCCGCAATTCAAAGGTGTGAGTACAAAAGAGCAATTGACCGAATCATTTTGAGTAAGACATGCCAGTGAGACGTCGTCGGCGGGTTTCCATGGAAACAGCCACGGAAGCAAAAGACATCACAGCTGAAGAGCGCGTCTCATTGTTTCGGCAACCCAAACAGCAAAACAAACATTGAAAAGCATGAACAAGATTGAGCAAGAAAATAAAGGCGTTGGCAGAGTTGCTGTTCCACTTCCTGCCGCTGACTTTCCCAATTGCGATACTTCTGGTCGCACTCCTACAGCAGTGAAGCAGCTGACATTCATTTACGAGCCCATCTGCCCGGCAGGGATCATGCCCTCTCAAATCCCAAACAGTATGTATAGTTTTAGTTTCTTGGCACAAACCGTTTCTCCTGCAATGAATTATGGAGACTCTGATGCAAATCTGGTGTTCCAAAAGGATTCCACTCTCGTGCCTGTAGTTTCAGAGCTTTTTCAGGCCAAAAAGGAACGTGAAGCTGTTAGTACTTCTGAGCTGTTAGTCAAATATCCGACGCCTTGGCCCATATACATGTATATATAATGCATATCTCATCTCATCTCTCTCTATAAATAAGATGAATATAATAGATATATGCACCCCAAATGCTGCGCCCGGAAGGGCTCCAAACACTGCAGAGTGCAAGGCCTTGGCTTGAAGCTTCAAAGTTTCTTGTTGCTGCTGGAACTCTGCAGCCTCGATCTGAAGCTGATGCTTCTGCCTCAGCCGAGTTTGGCATGCATCCGCCCCCAATTCCCTGGCTCACTCAAATGAAATCATTCTTTCACTAGCCACTCATTCCAAGGAAACCGGCTCAAACCTACGCAAAAAAAAACACAACAACAACTCAAAAAACCTGTGGTTCCTCACCTTCTTCCTGCATCTTCCACCCCGGGATCCTCACCCATCCTCCCGGGATCCGATCCACCGATCCGGATCGATTCGTTGAACTTCTTGCGGGGGGCATTTGCAGCTCATCTCGGATCCGTTGAACTTCTTCGCGGCTGCGCTCGGCCTCCAAGAGGCGAGCCTGAAGCTCTTGTTGTCGTCCTTTCCTGGGAGGAACGCACACACATAGAAGTTGGGTGTACTGTGGAATATACAATATGTATGTGATCATATATATATATAATATATATATATGCTTGTGTATACCCCAAAGCTGTTTATGACATATTTACCTACACTGGGGTGGTTTCAGAGGTCAATGTAGGCATATCATACATGGAGTGTCTAAGGAATATTATATAACATTATATATATATATATATATCATCCCGAGATATCCCGGACATTCCTCCTCAAAATTCGCTGCTCGACTCACATCACACTCTCCACGAATCTCCAAGACTCCTACAGTCTCCAACACACCCAAAAGGGTCAACAGTACGTTGTCAAGCCACAGGAGGTTCTCCCTCTGCTCCAAGTCCTTCTCCGCGCGCAGCAGCTGTTCATTGTTTCGCTCTTGCTTCAGCGTCTCTTCCAGCTCCTGAAGGGAAGCCAAGTCTCCGGCATCCACAGTCCCATCATCCGCACACAGGGATGGCCGGTCATTCCGCGTGCTAGAATGTCTAAAGCACCAGTTTTTTGCTCATCTAAAGTCTAAGTAGCTACTTTGGTTTCTTCTCCCATCATTACGACCTCCAGTTCTTTTTCCCAGTTGGTGGCTGAAGGGGTGGCGAAGCGACGGTCGCTTAGCTCCTGACAACGTTGCTCCAAGCTTTTGGCTCTGGTCTGAGCCGTGAAGAGCTTCTCCTCCAAATCCCGTTTCTCCTGCAGCTTGTCCTCAAAAGCCATGGTGAATTTAGTGGGCAAGGATTTGGCAAGTGTGTTGTTGTGGCATTGCTTCTTTAACAATCAGCAATCACCAGTACAATCTTACTCTACAAGCAACATATTTCCAGACCTTCAGTCTCAAAAACTACCAGTATATCTGTAAATGTCCGTTTGGGAACCTGTGCTCCAACGCTTGAGCTGGGGGAACAAGTTTCCCGTTTCTCCTGCACTTCACGTTGGCAATCCCTCTGAGTCTTCTCCTTTGTAGAGCGAGCATCGTCCATCTGCTTTTCTAAACGCTCCTGCTTTCTTTGAGACATGAGGGCACTCAAGGCATATTATGCCTCCAAATCCATGAAATGATCTCGGGGCAGTGTTGAGAGGTCAGGATTCCTATCATGCGAGGCACGCAGTGAGACCAATGAATGATTGAATGTCAACCGCCCCTTGAATCCCTTAAGCCGCAAAAAGACCTGTCAATCATCCCGTGGCGGTTGATCTACCGGGTGAATGTCTCGCGGCGGACGGGTCTTCTGGGGTAGCTCCTGGCGGACCTTCAAGTTCCTCGCTTCATCCGATTTGGCTTTCAACTTCCGCTCCAGCTCGGAGATCTTCATGTCCTAGCCCCAAGGTAGCCAAAGGGAGCAAAGCGGAAGGCTCCTAGTTTTTCCAAGCAATTGAAAGCGCGCTTTTATATAAGCATCAGAAGAGGAAGCATTTCAAACAGCCAAAATAAAGTTGCAAAAATTGTTTGATTGGTGTGTGAAGGATTTACTACAATTTTGGCTGTCGTCGTCGCAGAGTCGTGGTAGCTATGATGTGGGTGGCAACCTATGGGAGAGCCTCACATGTCATGGTGTCTCAGGTTGTCAAAGCAAAAACAATACATATACATGACATATTATATATAAATATAAATATACATTGTATACATGATATATTCTTTTCAATGTCCCTCCTTCTGATGGAGCTCACTCTCGATCAGCACTCCCTGGTCCAACTTGGCCTGTTTCATGTCTCGACACATCCGTGTAGATTGACAGAACCGGTCAGTCTGACACGTCCTGTCAATGTTACTCTCCCCGGTCAGCCATGTTACAATCCTTTTTAAAGAAAAACAATCAACCCCCTGTCATTCGAAGATATTCAATGAGCATCTCCACCAGTCTCAGTTGTGAAGCGTCTCGGGTTTTCTCGAAAAGTCTCCGACTCCAAAAACCGCATTTTGACACCAACGAATTCGTCCGTGTCGGCGGCAACCGCATGCCGTGCCTGAATCTTGCGGCGCGCATCGGCTTCGCGCTCCAGGCGCTGCTCCATTTCAATCAGCCGCTCCGTCAAATGGTGAACCTGCGCGCGTGGCGCGTGGGGGGCGCCACGATGCAAGTTAAACCCACTTAAACGCACGCATCATCACATGATTATATATAATATATAATATAATATATATATATATGCCTGTTGTATCCTGAACAATGCTCTCTACGTACCAGTCACTCACAATTCACTAAAAAATGCTAAAAACTGATTGCGAAAATGAAAAACAATTGGACCATGACCAGCATGAACAATGACACTAACAATGACCAGCTTTCGTGCGACCCATGTCCCCAACTCACATTCACCGCGCAACGCCGTGATGCACCGATTGGTCGCGGTCGTTGTCGGACCGACGGAACCGGTCGTATGACGGAGTCACTGGACTCCGGACCGAGTCACTGGAGGACTGTTGACAAGGCATGGAACTGTCCCATGGAACTAGTATGAACTAGTCGTCCGGGTTTGGTCCGCGTTTACCAAACCTGCATGGATGGTCATGGATGGTCCGGGTTTGGTCAACTCTAGACTCTTGAGGAATACAGTAAACGGAAAAACCCGCTTGGTCCCACGGACGAAGTGGTTAAGCAGCGGCCCGGCCTGCTGAGTTTCAATCTCTCGGTCATTCAACGCCTGGCGCAACGAAGGCCCAAGTGAGGAAACAGCAGAAATGATACCATTAGGTGGAACCATCGGGGGTCCCTCACTTCAGAATTGACTGGACTGAATTATATAAGAGTCTTTTTGAATGGGATGCAGCCATGAACACCAGCCAAGTGGCCTGCAAACTGCACACACACACGACTCCTGCAGGCCTTGTCAAGCTCTTTCTTCAGCGACTCAGTCTCCTCTTTTGCGGCCAATCTGTTCTCCAACACACGATTTACCTCTTCAACGATCTGCTTTTGCAGGTCAATGCTAGGTTCTTTGGTCTCCAATGAACTGTCTGAATTGCCTCTCTTGACAGCTTTTGGATTCGTTTCCACATCCACTGGAAAGCAAGCACTGTCACGCCGGTCTCTGAACTTTGGCATCGGTGATGAATGAGGGTAGCCTCCTTCGCTCACTGCGGACGACATACTGCCAGCACCATGCACAGGGGAGACTGCATCGAAGCCATGCCAATCCAAACGCCGGCCCATTCCGGGCCGGGCTGTCATAGCCTCGTCAAAAGCAACCCCCGTGATCTGTGGTGCACTTCGAGGGATCTGTGGGCTTGGTTTCTCCATCACATGGTGAACAGGTGTGTTCGCCGGCACGTGGCTATTCCGCTGTGGAATGGGAGACAGGGCTCCCATTCGCGGCTCGACCCGTGGTTCTGCACACAAAGCATAGGTGACACGAGGAGGTGGGCTCTGCCCCCGTTGTGGTCTAGGACCCTTCATGAAATCCATCGGATCGTGGACCACAGGTCCTTTGTAGCTTGGTGTGAGCACAGGTTGCTTGGTCCATGGTACTGACTCCACACGGCGGTCGGGGGACACGGCACTGATGGATCTCACCGCGGGGGTGCGTGCATAGACAGCCATCGCGGCTGTCAAGCGTAGGTCTTTCCGTTCCCGCCAGCTGGAGCAAACTCAGGGCCGGCAATGACAATGACACACACACACTAGAAAATTTACCGAATAAAGTTGATACATTGATATGTCATATCATGTGCAAACTTCATGATGCGCAGTTCTCCAAGGAATAACCGCCCGCAGTTCCCATGTCAGGGCAGAACTACTGAGTGGGAGCCAGTCCCTGCATATCCTTGGAATCTATTATCTACAATACAAATACAAACTATACAAGTTGAGTGTTGGATAACGTCTTATGCCAAAGGGCTACAACTTCCAGCAGATGGCGCCTCCTCACAGCGCAGCCCAGGCCTTAGGTGAACATAGACGAAGGCCGAAGCATCTGGTTCGTCGGTTAGTCAAAATCATATGTTAGTCAACATGCTGAATGACCCTAAGCAGTACTCAGTACTCCATGTGTTCAAGGAACGCCTGCACGACTGAGAGCTCAACTCGGCTTTGCGAGTCTGACCTACGTCCAGTGATCAAGAATCAAACCTCCGAAAAATCCCTGTCCCACTCCCTGCCCCTTGTCTGCAAACAACACGCGCACTGCGCAAGGGGAACTTCATCTGCTCGAAGGACAATCACAATCCCTCTTCTCCAGTGGTTGAACTGCACTGAGTCACCGTGTCGATCGCGAAGTTCCGACTTGTGCGACTCGTAGGGAATGAAGGTGGCTGGATCCAATGACATCTCTATTGGGTTCCCGTAGCGGGTCGCAGTCTTCCTGCCAAACACCACCACTTAGGCATCCAGCTGGTGCTCGAGATTGCCGCTTGGGCATGATGGATGGCCTCCAGGGCTAGCAAGCAAAAAGAGAGACGACTGCGCTAGAGAAGCAGAGACGACTGCAGCTGAAAGCGTTCGACCTCCAAAACTCTGCGTTCAGAACCGTCACGCCTCCTTCACGTCTTTCGGAACCAGCTTTTGCAACCTTAGTGATGCCCCTACGATGACACCGTAGGGCCTGAAAACACCGTTTGACCTTGGCCGCCGTGTCTTCAACTGATGGATTCCATATTTGTCTGCAAACAGGTGGTCCAGAAATGCTCTGCCCGGCGCTTTTTGAACATGGAGCCATGCAGAACGGTCGGACGGTCCTCTGTCACAAACTAGTTATGTATACAGTATACATATATATATATATAATAGTATATATATATACAGTTAATGAATCTATATCACTATCATTGCACGGCTCCTTGAAGCATTTACCTGATCTTGGTGGATGGCAAAAAGTAACGTAGCTGCAGCCACGAATAGATTGAAGTGAAGCATTCCAAAAGGAAGAAGACAAACTGAAATCCAGGGATCGTCCTATTGTGATCACTAGCTGCTAGCTCACATTTACTCTGGTCGAGCCCAACTGTCTTGCTGGAGCAGCTGCAGTGGTATTCATGACTCATGACCATTTCAACCCTAGTCTTGTCTGACGCATTTGTCAAACATAGCAAGCAAAACACATGCAAATTGGCAATCATACTGGCGAGATACACCATGTTTTCGCAGGTGCGTAGACTTCACACCTGCACCCAAGTGCATCAACTAAATTGAACTCTCCTTTGCAAACACCAAGGCGGGCAATGGCCAAACTTGCTTTGATTCCAGTGACCGTGGCTGGGAGGGCACTCGCGTGCTTTTTGTCTCTCGCACGCATCCGGCATGATCCTGGCACTTGAGACAGCTGGAAAACTAGCAGGCAAATTGAACATGCCAGCAAGAAATGCAAAGCGCTGAGTAGCAAAGTGCTCTATTGTAGCACATGTGATGTCCAAGAATGTCAATTCAATGTCTGAGGTTGTTATGCCGCTCACCGTTCCGGTGTGCTAGGACTAAGCTTCGAGCAGCATGCATGGGTCATCATGCCTCTCGCGCGGCAACGGATCGTAAACACTCCCAGGCAAAACAGGCAGGCAAGATAAAGCTGAAACATCTTGATTCCTTGTTTGCAACTGGCAGCAAAGCAGAACCTAACTGGCCTATAGTCATTTTTTTGATACGTGCCAGGACACATATTTTTTGACAATTTCTCGCACCGCTGATTCTTTCTTCCTCTGATTTCACCCATTCCCAGATTCAACAACTTGCCGCGCAAGGGCCAAATCTTGTCGCCATGGATGATCCGGTGCTTCCAGCTCTCGTAACTGCGGATAAGCCTCAGTTGTTTCATGTGTCTCACACTGTGCAGTATGGGAACTCTGCTCTCACCACCTACAAAACGGCGGCATCAGCCGGCAAGAAATGCATCGAAGCACTACATGACATACAAGCATTCAGAATACAAGACACATTCCGTGTGTCGGGCTCCTGTTCTGCGCGATTCTATTAGTGGTCTTGTGGTGCCAGAAATTTTAGCAACATGTATATAATACCTTATCTATAAAAATTGTATATATGTTATATATATATATAGACAGGGGCCAAGACGTCTGCCCATTTGGTTCATATATGTTTTTCTGTGTCCCTCTTGTTTTGCACATGTACGGTGCACATTGAAGAAAGGGCAAAAAGACTCGCAAAAGGCTCCAACAAACGGCGTGATTGTAAAGGCTCCATAGGTAGAACCTTGTTGATCAAAGATGTTAAAATGTGTTTAAATAGATCGCTGATCAAAGAAGGCCGGACGAACCACGAACGAACACTTGTGACGTCCTTTGATAAAAGTGCCTGTGAACTGTTTTCAAGCGTTGGATCTCTGCAGGTATTGGAAACCCTGGTCCGTTGCAATGGGCTTGTGAATGTGAGGTGTTGTCCAAACAGCACCCAAACAGCACGCACACAAAAGCGGTAAACAAAGGCTCTAGAACTGGACTGGAGATGACCGGAGCAGTTAGGTTTCGTTGACTAAGCTCCGTCACACTGCCATACAACGAGATACTTCTCGAATCTACACAACAGTATGCGGGCTGTGTAGAAACATTGTATGCCGCCTAAATGGCACATATAATAGTATCATATTGAATTGAAGCATGCCAGCACTCTAGTCTATTTTTGGCTTTGTTCACTGAGGACTCCCCACACCCCCTTCGCCCTTCTTGAGAACTTGAGAATGGGGATGTGCAATCACTTCTGGGTCAGCCTAGATTGTAAGCAAAGAGCCAAAAGGAAAAAACAAAAGGAGTGCACGAAGGCAGCTTTCCAAGCGCCAAACATGGTGTGTACTATTCGGGTGTGTTCCCCCCTGTTCGAGCACAAACTCATATTGAGCATGTGAAAGCTATGTGTCCTCTTCCCCATCCTGCTTTGACACTGCTGAACATTTTTTTGGGCTCGTCCGTTCGTTGTTACTGTAGCATGCTCTGCTTTAGTGACTTTAATTTAAGCTCTGCTAATCTCTTGCTCATACGTCTCCCGTCTCCCCATGTTCTATCAAGATGCTTCCAGCATCTTCCTGCTTGACATCCTACCCTTCTATTACTTGTCAATTTGCACCAAAAACATGCTCAAACATATGGAAGGCAGGTCGCAGTCGGGGGCTAGCGGCTAGCACACAAGAATTCTGTGAGCATGGTCTAATAGAGCCTAACAAATCCGACAGTATATATAAAGCCCCGCTGGAGCCACAACCAAAAAATTATCTGGCAAGGAGCAACGGATGTGAAGTCCCCGTCATCTGTAGCATGGTCAATAATCAAAATACCATTGAGGTGGTCGAGCTCGTGTTGGAACGCGCGAGCTGGCTCCCCGGATAGGGTTTCAGTGTGAGAGTGCCCGAGCAAATCGAGGGCCTTGACAGTGACCCTTGCATCGCGAAGGAGCGTCACCAAAACGTCAGGTGGTAGAACCAAACAACGCTCCCGCCACCAAAGCATGTCGGTCTCAGGGCTACGCTCCAGAATCTCAGGGTTAATGAAAACACTCTGATTTGATACGATGGCCGAGTCAAGAACGATAATTCGGGCATCAACACCAAGCTGACTAGCAGCCAGGCCAACAGCTCCCTCAGTGGTTGCAGTGGTTCGTAGAGCATCTATGAAAACCTGCAGCTGTTGGCGCTGTTGCAAGGTCTGGAAGGTCGTTTCGGGCACTGGACTTGCCAACATGCGAAGAATTGGGTCGGGATACCTCGCCATAGGCATCACCAGGCGATTGGCGCCAGATTGTAGCCAAGCGATCGCTTCGGAAAGGGAACGTTTTGCCACGTGCGTTCCTGACCATGTTGCAGCAATTGATGGTGATGCCAAAGTTAAGCAGATCAGTAAGGGCGCGCAAGAATTGAGCAGGCTCATCCAAGGTGTCAGCGGGGGTGGTGCCGAAGCAGATGAATTCAGGACATGCCCATATCGGACTGCCTTCTTTTTCACCAAACGGAGGCTCCACTTGGATCCAACAAGGGAAGCAGTCCATGATGGCTTGACGAATGATGTGCTGGCAGTGTGCCAGGAGGCCGGCAACATATCACAGAAAGCAGGTCGAAAGTTCGCCACTACACCTACGACCTACGCGTGGTTCTTGTGTCGTGATTCTCATGCCCAAGAACTTATGATGCTTCACCTCAAACATCAACTCCATGGAGGGCCAACCAGGAGAATCATCCCATGAAACATCGGAAAACTGCCCTGAATCGGTCATCCTTACACTCTGTTGATCCACGTCAGTTTGACCAAGACCTGCAAGATGCTGCGCGCATCCGGTTGAAGTCGATCGCCCAATTCAAAACAGTTACAGCTGGATGCAGCGGCAACAAGCAGTGAAAAAAGCACAGGCACATGTGGCGGCCAGTCTCTATATGTCAGAGTTTCTGCCCCAAACAGGAAACAATGCAAAGCAAAAACAACTCTGCAAAGCAAAGCTGCCAACAGAAACTGCTCCTTCTCTGATGGCGAGTCGCTGGTTTGGATTCCTGGCGAGTCGCTGACCCGAGAGAGGCGTTGCGTTGACCCGTGGGCCCGAAAGGCGTTGCCAGGACACGGAGACACATGGAGATACTGTATAGGTACTATGAGATACTATGTGCCACACAGTAGGTATGTGACATGTTGACACCTGTGCTGCAGACAAATCGCATTGTGCTCACCTAAGGGGCAACGTTCGTGTCCAGTTCTATCTTTTTCTCAGCATGGCGGGCTCGTTCGTCCTACGACTCCCCGAGAGTCTCAGCAGTCCGAGGCCGCTTGGCCGGAGTCTCCTCAAGCCCATCCTCCGTGTCTTCCTCCACAATGTTTGCACCTGGTTGCCAGAGTTGCAGCAAATGGTCCTCCCCCACGGAGCAGAACAGGAAATCATCCAAAAAGCCCCATCCAAAGTCATTCACACCCCCTTGATGTCCACTATGGACGAACAACGCTTCTGGATCGGTGTCCTCCTCCTCAACTCGAGTGCTCGAGGCTAAATTCCACACAATCACCTTGCTGTCGCCCGAGGCTGAACCGAGCAGGTGCTTTCTGGGAGTTCCTCCCATGTCTCCATCCCCTCTTGGACACCATCGCACTTGTAGGACCTCATCCTCGTGGCCTTTCAATGACTTCATGGGAGCGTGTGGCCCTACATGTCGAAGGTCCCAAATGTGAACAAGGCCATCCTTCAGGCCAGTCAGAAGTAAGTGCGGATCGTGTGGGTTCCAATCGACACTCAAAGGCTCGGCACTGGTTCGAAAGCTCAGTGTCTTTGCCTGCGAACGATGATCCCAAAGTGCAACAATGTTATCGTCTCCCACTGTGGCAAACTGATGGCCATGAGGTGAATAGCATGCATCATTCAAAGCACCTGAGTGGGCAAGGGTTGACCACAGGGGCTTTGAGGGACAGGCCTTCGACACATCCCATGTGTGAAGCCATCCGTCATTACCTCCACTGGCCAAAAATTCACCTTGCCCGTGGCTCCACGCTAAGGCAAAGCCCTCAATGGGCCTTTGATGCTCACCCAGTTTACACTCGATGGGCTGGTCCGGCTTCTTAAGGTCACAAAGCCACACACTTCCACAACTGCCCTTCACCGCAATCATCGAAGCCTGCGAGGGGCAAGCGGCAATTCGATTCACATCAGACTCGATGGTCATCTCCGCTGCTAAGCGTAAGGGAGCATCTCCTTGAATGGGCTTTAGGCCAAAGCCATTCATTATCCCAACCTGCTC